GGTGGTTGCAACTCCGATATATTCCCGGAACGATGGAGGCGAGCAGCTGGTTGGTTGGTGCCTCAACGGCTGCCTCGCATAACGAGGTGAAAACATTATTTTTATTACCTAATTACCTCAATTTATTCGCGGTAATTGCGAGTGCCCTGCCTTTGGTGGAGTTAATGGATCCGCGGATCGCCATGCTGTCTGCAGGTGGAGTATATATCTAAGTATATATATCTATGTATATAGAAATAAGCGGGTTAAGCAAGCGGATTTCCAATTCGCTTGACTTTATGAATGAATCTTCTGTGAATCTACTCGAGTCTCATTTCGTTTGTTGAACTTGCTGACTTTTGCTGGTGTTCGCCTGGAAAAACTATCCAGGGGAGTTTTGTCGGGCAATCTGGTCTATAAGTATCTTGTATCTTGCATAATCTGAGCATAATGAGCTCATTTGCATGTGTCCGGGGGGGTGTGTGTGTGTGGGTGTTAATTAAAAATATTATACTTCGTTTTTCACTAGCAAAAAAGGGGTGTCACTCTATTTGGAGAAACTGATCTATTCATGAGTTCTGTTCACTATATTAGCTTTCAACAGATTTTCTTTACTTAGTTAAGAAACAATATAAATGTTTAGGCATTCTTAATTATCATTTAAAATAATTTTCTATGGAGCAAGACAATTTTATATTTTGTTTTTACCTCTTTCCTTTTTCTCTCCCTTTTAAATTTGTCTGTAGTTAATCAACTTTGGTCTGTAGGTAATCAATTAAGCAGAAAACAACTTGAAGATCAAGTTGTAAGGCCCCTCGTCCCCGTCTCAGATCGATTCCCATCCTCAGTTCAGCTGCGGCGGCTGGCCCCATTGATAACTTTGAACACAAATATTATCATTGTAAATGCGCCGCCTCACAGTTGGGCGTTAATATCAAGCTGTGATTCGGCAGGGAGGCGGCCCCCGAGGTGCCCCGATAAATACGTAGATATATACACGTATATATACCCCTTTCCATGATGTGTACAGAAAGAAAAGGGAGAGAGACGCGATGCGACGCCAAACAAATGCCTGCAATCAGCGAAGGCGGCGCTCGGTCCATTAGGCCCGATATAAAGCTTAATTGCCGGACTCGAACTCGCTGCTCGGCCAAAATCGCAGCAGGCTACCCAATGTGACCAGGCTCTGATTGTGTGCGCTGCCAATGCGGCTGCTCATTTTCCCCCATATCGGTCACACTGGGAAAAAAGGATCAAAGGGAAATATCCATAATTGATGTATATCAATGCATAGTTTTAGTTTCAATTTTATAAAGTATTGGGACTTTAATTTAAACGTTTTCAATATGATGCAACTGTTAATATGGCCACCTTTTTAATAAAATTAATTAATTTATGATGCATAATCTGAGTAGGCTTGCAAAGATTTTTATAAGATATAAATATTGCTAATGGTTTCATATTTCTGCATGTTTTTTGATGATCAGGTTTTGACCCCATTATATGAAATATGATACATAAATAAGGGCAACAGGCTTATTAGATTCATTTATAGTTTTAATCACAAAAAATATTGTCCCTAATTGAACATTTTTAGGGTATTATAAATTTATTCAGGTGCTTAAAAAGCAGTGAAGGAGTCATTTCCGACCCTATAAATCATATATATTCTTGATCACCAAGAAAACCTGAGTTGATCTAGCTATCTTCCACAAAAATTTAATTTTTTCAAAATTTTCAATATTTTATAAGGGTTAAAAATTGGAAAATGAATGTTTGAAAACTGATAAAAATTTTACTTTCTTAAAATGTTAAATTAACTATGCAGATTTATTAATCTAATAAAAACTAGCATAGGAGTGCTTTCAGAATTAAAATTAATGCTTATTTGACTTAGTTATGGGTTTTTTAAGATTTGATGAAAGAATGGTATTTTAAGTTCAGTCAAAAGCTTCAAAAACATTGCAGATGTCTTTTTCGACCCTATAAATCATATATATTCTTGATCAGGATGAAGAGCCGAATCGATCTAGCTATGTCCGATAAAAATTAATTTTTTTCAAAATTTTTCCATTTTTATAAGGGGTAAAATTTTAAATTTAAACTTTGAAAAAATTGATAAATATTTTAATTTTTTTAATTTTAAATTAATTATTAATCTAATAAAAACTAGCATAGGACAGCTTTCCGAATTAAAATTATTGAATTTTTGGCATAACATAGGTATGAGTTTTTTAAACTTTGGAAGCTGGAAGGATATACTAGCTTCTTGGTTCTGTGTTAAATATTAATTTTTTTATATATTCAATTAATTGTTAAGTTCTACTATTTTTTTTCTCAGTGCTGATGCCGTCTCAGCCTTTTTTGTCTCTGTTTCGGTTTCTGTTTCAGGCCTCTCGCTGCCTTGCCAAATGATTTGATTACGTTTTGATTAACGCATTGCACTTTCCGGCGCGGCGCGTTTTGCATGGAGCGCCACCTGCGGCTACCTGAAGGCGTAGCCGGGCCTAATTAATAAGCGGACGAGGGGCCGCAGTCGGCAGTCACTCGGATCCCCTAATCCCCCTAATCCCCTCGGATCCCCATCGATTCCCACTCATGGATCCACCTTTTCTGGGACTCTGGGCGTCACCCGTTGGCGTCAGCGTAGGCAGGCATTGTAATTATATACGCGTAATTAATTGCGGCGACAATCGATTTGACATCCGAGATAAAAACGGGACGGCTGCCGTGGAGAATTTGCCGAGAGCAAACGCATTTATCAATATTTGATGAATAATAATAAATGCATAATTAATTTCATTATTTTATTGCTATCCAATAAAACAAGGCACGATTGCATTTTAATTGTTAACAAATTATATTCAAATTGTATGCGTAATTAGTAAATTGCGACAAGTGGATACCCTAGAAAAGCTTAAGAGATCTCAATGAAAATTTAAATAATATAAAAAATATACTGTTAAATCAGGCATATACATATATCTATATTAATTTATAGATATAATGAAAATAATTTATTCTATACATAATTAATTAAAATAATGTATACTATATAGGGTATTTGAATATCAAGATGGAAAATCTGAAATGATATATCATTATCATATTCACATTACTGAAAATTTCCATAAAATAAAATACTAAATTTCGAAAAATATCGTATTTTAAGGCAAAATACCATATTATCGAAAGATATCCGAAAAAGGAGATTAATTTTCTCTTTATTAGAAAAGAAGAAAAGATATTAATATAGTTTCGATAAATAGATATTTTCTGTCATTCCCTAGATTTAATTAATTGGTAAAAGATCAACAAGGGTTAAGTGCGACAATTAAATACTGTCACTTAGGGGAATTAATTACACTTTAATGGCCTTCAAAAGGAACTTAAGAAGGTAAATATACACCTGACACACATACTTAAAGAAGCATTTTAAATTCCTCAAGTCCAAATGTTTGCACAATTATAGACCCTTCAATTTAAATGTTATTTAAATTAAGTATTTAAACATTTCGCTCATAATAGTTAGGAACAACACCTATGCCCACATAACATTATAGGAAAAACTACCTATTAAACACATAAATTTATGTATGTAATTCCCTCACACTTGCACTCAGAACGCAAAGTCCTCGAAATGTTTCAAAACCTTATCAGTGGCGTTCAAGCTGGCAAATAATAATATTTTAATTTATTTATTGAGCACAGACGCACAGCACAACCAACAAACACACACCGGTTTGCTCTCTGTAAATAAATCAAAATAGCTAAATTATTTGACGCTTTGCGCGCTGTAGCTACTGTGGCTTTTCATTCCGACGGCGTGTTATTCCATTTGTAATTAAATTAATTGGGTTTTAATTCAACGCGATAAGGGAGACAGCAAAAACCACAGGCGGTATTGACGCTCGTCCAGCTGTCAACAACAAATAACAAACAGAAATAAAAAAAAACCGTATATGTTCATTTATATAAATGTATTCGTTATTGAACCCAGCCTGACACTCGACAAATCGCGCAGGAATAAAAATTATAATGCAAACAATTTGATAATCACTCAATTGTAATCTAAATTGGCCTAACCTCCACTTAAATCCATATAACATGTATATATTTATGAATATATATTGATATGTAAAGGAGAGCGAGTTGCGAGAGAATGCGTATACGCCATGTGGGCCAGCCACAGATTGCCTGATTAATTAAATATTAATTGCCACTTGATAAGAATAAAACTCAATCCAACACGATCACTTCACGAAATCAATAATGAAAACGCTTCACGAGAATTGTGAAATGTCCGTGACAATCGTCTGAACTCATTATTATAGTATATGGGTGTAATTACGGTTGGAATTTTCAAATTTCACGCTTTTAGGAAATATTATATAAGCGCCTCCGTTTCGTAACGTGCTAATTTTTTCACTAACAACCTATTGGTTAATTTTTCCTACATCAATTCGCTGCGGTCTCATTCCCGATTTGTTCCCAATATAAATTACAACATATGGCCGTCGATCTTACGCAATCATTCAGTTGAAAAATAACACCTCTAATCAGGGGAAACAAAAATATTGTTTTCCTCAGAATTTTAATCAGCGCAATAAGGCGACACTACTTTGTAAATATTAAATACATTCTCAGTGTTTGTATTTGCCATTTTAGTTATTGAATTGTTTTTTAAATTCAAGGAATTTTTGAAGGTATTCACTGATACTTTTTTAAATATATTCCAATATATATTTTCATCAGAGTAAAATTAACTTCTTTTTTATATGAAAATATATAATTTTCTAAATGAACTAGAGCTTGTGAATTTCTAATTCATTTTTGTTTTAGTATAATTGTAATAAAAAATCACACATTATACTTCTTTATGAATCACAATCAGTGATTCATAAATCTTCTCCCAGTTAGTTAGTAAAAATATTTCAGTTGGAAATATTTCCACATTAAAATAAACACACTTTTACACTTTTTTTGTATAATTATATATTTTTTCTCAAATGATCCTTTTAATGATTCGTCTCAGCACTTTCTGCTCTTGTTTTTGTATTATTTTTTGTTATTATTTTACGATTTAATGATTAAACAACTACAGAGGATTAACGCTATATGGTATTTATATTATTATTATTATGCATTTATGAACTATATGTATAGGGTCTGTGGTATTATCGTAGAGTACTTTTAACGGCATAGCTGTAGCTTTAGATTTAGTTTAGTTTAGATGCTTAGAAGTATCTTTTTTCGCTAGACTGACTTACAATGCAAATTACACAATACACAATCGAAATGTATAAATTTAGTTAATGTTCTTAATGGGTTGTTTTCACGCTGACTTGTTGACTTGTTGAGTGTTGTGGTGCGAAAATAAATTATTGTTATTAATCCAAAACGAAAACGAAACAAACAATGTTGATAGAGTTCTCTTTTTCATTTCTATGTACAATTAGGAAACATATCTTTCTCTCGGCATTCTATATATATATACAGAGTTCGATCGTGGCTAATCGGGGTGCTTAATCGGGTCGGGATATATATGTATATCTTATAGTATTTACAGGGCGTGCATTTGAAACAACATTTGGAAGTATCGTAACATAAAATGCGCTAACATCACAGCAAAATTTTGGGGGTTTCCGCATCAGCATCGGCTTTTTGGTTACCAGGATTGGGGGGACTATGGCTCCGTTGGCATCTCTGTTGGGCCAACTGGGCCGCCACTTATCCCAGGTGCATCAGGCTCGGATGGAAGTACCCGGCCATGGCCCACTGGGCGCCCTGCGCCCCCCGTCCCAGCAGCGCCATCTTGTGCTTCTCGATCTCCGCCTCCTGCAGCCGCTTGGCCTTGGCCCGCCGGTTCTGGAACCAGATCTTCACCTGCGTCTCGGTCAGCCGGAGCGACGAGGAGAACTCCGCCCGCTCGGCAATGCTCAGGTACTGCTTCTCCCGGAACTTCTTCTCCAGCGAGAGCAGCTGCTGGGTGGTGAACGGTGTGCGGGGCTTCCTATTCGGTTTGTGTTTTCGCAGGTTGCACTTGATCCTTGGCGGTTCATTGGCATCTGGAAAGGGAAATCAAGTTGATTAGTTGCATGTTTTTGTTTAAGATTTTTAATTGGAAATTGTATATGGAACGTTGTTCTTTTGTTTTGCCGGATTTCTATCTCTAAAACGAACAATAAACTTTCCTTCTCGACTATATTTTTAAAAACCCAAAGAACTCATTCAACCTCTTTGAAGATATTCCAATTTAGCTAAGGATTAAGTCTCTTGAAAATTGTTATTACTGTATTTGCCAGCGAAACAAAAGCCCTGTTGAATGTTGAATGAAATGGGCTGTCAACTGCCGCCTGTCCTTGGCCTTGTCAATTTGGCTAAAAGCGGCAGCGGCTGCGGCACCGGCAACAATATACGGTAATTACTCCTTTAAGTGGCCAATAAATTTGCTGTCTAAACTATTTGTCAGACAAAGCAGCAGCAGTAGCGACGGGAAATGCATTCCCCGATGTGGATGTGGATGTGGCTGTGGCTGTGGATCCCCAAACCGAATCCCCTCGTGCCATATCTCAGTTCGATTCTTTCTGCACAGCAAAACAATTTTAATTTGGGCATTTTGTTTTGGCAAACAAAGGCGGCAGAGAGGCAGAAACGAAAAAAAGCAGCAAAAAATGCAGAAAAGAAACGTCGTGCAGGCCTTATAAAGACGCCGGAGGAGCAGCAGCAGCAGCAGCTGTTGCAAGTTGCAAGTTGCATGCCTCTGGAGTGGAGTGTTGTTAATGAAAGTAATGAGCTTGCCACAAACCACAGAGATGCAAATGGCATTTTAAAGATGCAGTCTGTCCGGGTCAGATCTTTCTCTCTCTCAAGAGATCCCCAATCCCCAAAGGCACGCGTAATTTATTGGGCATTTTGTTTTGCAGTCAAAGGAGCCGGAGGAACTTGGGTGCTGTGGCATCAAAATAAAGACAAATGCAAATGATATGCAACGATTTAATTTTACGCATAATTGCGCAAATTGAAATTGCCGAGTGACAAACGTTGGCCAAGTTTTCTACATGCCATTTGTAATTGCTTTTTATGCTCTGCATTTTGCCCAAATGATGCATTAAACAATAATAATAATAATGAACAAAGGAAGAACGTAAGAACTCTAGCATTCAATTTAAAATAAAACATATACAAAGAACTAATAATTATCAAAAATTTACAGTCTTCATTATATGTTTCTCCTGATTTTCTTTCGACTTAAACTCGATGTGTTTCACACACATTTTGATGGCACATTACGATACTCTCTTCGATAAACAAATAAATGTCGAGGAACCCGCCATAAGGCCATAAAAATGCAACTCGCGATGGAATCAAAACTAATAACCAACTCCAATCTCGGCTGACCGGGGCTCATTAAGTAATTAGTGTGACATGCCAGAGTTATGTTAATGCGACGACCGGCTTATCGTTCCGATACGTATGTATATATGCATGAATATAATTTCACTTATTTGTGGGTCTGGTCGTAAAGCCAACTAACAAGGTGAAACGAAATGTGAACACTCCCGATAAAGCCACCAGTCTGGAATCCAGATTTCTTAAATATAATGAAGATGCAGTCTCACAGATACATATATATATATATTTTGGGTGTGCATTCTGTGTGTGTTTTGTTTGGTATTTTGTTGTCGCTCTTGTCTTGTATTGACCATAAATTAGTTGCCAAATTAGCATATAAACGAGGCCCTTTTTTCGCTTTTGTCACAGCTCTTTTTTATGAGGTTTTCTTTTACAATAATATTTATATTCTCTGCTTGGGTTTAATATTTATATGCAATGGTAAGGTGGCTTTGTAATAATATTTATATCCAAATGCGATCATTATTTTGATTATTATCCATTGGCTTTTCAAGTTAACTAAATATTTGTATTATGTTTCTTGATTCGTTGCTTCTCGCTGGCGTTTTCTTTACATTTATTTCAAAATTAATTGCTCATTTGTCGCTAAATTGTTGGAATGGGGTTTCCATTGCAAAGTGAGCTGGATTTTCCGGCTCCCCTCGCGTGTGCCCCGCCCCCAATGGAAATGCCTTTGGCTTTAGTTGCGAAAAACCTGCAACACAAGAGACAAGAGAGAGGCACGGGGGCGAGAAACCAGAGTGCGAGACTTGTTTTCCCCTTTTTGCTCTTTTATAGGCATTGTTGCTGCTGTGCTTTTATGCACAGAGAAATGTTTTTAAAGTTTAGTAATAAACTATTATATTATATTAATAAACTATTATTTTTTAGCTGGTGTATTTAGTAATCAAACTAGGAAAATTGTGAAGGATCAAACTTTGAAATCGTTAAATAAATATTTTTAAAGAGTTCATTGCGATATATTCAAGTAAAAGTATTTTCCAATCCATTGTCTAATTAATTTTTTATGATAAAATAATGAATTTAAAATTGATTTAGTACAAATATTTAATTACAGTGTGCAATGTTTTGCTGCTACGTCGCCATTGCCAGTGCAAATACATGCCACAAACGCCAATTGTGACATTTAGCCTATGTTTGTAATGGATTTTCAATTAATTTGAGTTCTCCGGTGTATTGTAGACCCGCGACATCGTATAGGAGCAACATCGCCAGCAAAATGAGACAGGCCAACAGGCAATTGTGAAATTTACGCGTATCGCCTCGGATCGGATCGGTTTGCAACAAAAACAAAAAGAACAAGAAAGGAAGCTAACTTCGGCACGCCGAAGTTTATATACCCTTGCAGATAGAACTTCTATGAATAGGAATCCATACAATATAAATTATATATATTTGTGTTAAAAAACAATGAAGTAATACCTGCTTTCATTTCATTCACCTATACATATTATATTTGCAGTTTTACATTCACAGATTTGCATTTTTCCTCTACATCAAACGATCGTTTGTAAGGCACCTATATGATATAGTCGTCCGATTTTTATGAAATTTGCCACAAAATTTAAGACTTATGTAAAATGGCTATACCTTAAATTTGATAAAAATCAGCTGAAAACTAAAAAAGTTATAAATTTAATTGTATTAATTTCTCGATCGTTCCTATGGGAGCTATATGATATAGTAATCCGATTTTCATAAAATTTTACACAAAATTTTAGAATAATATGAAATGGCTATATTTTAAATTTGATTAAATTCTGTTGAAAACTAAAAATGTTATCGCCACCGCGATTGTCAGTCTTCCGACAACAGCCATCGCCATTCTCATTCCTCTCAAATTTCTCGATCGTTCCTATGGGAGCTATATGATATATTAGTCCGATTTTCATAAAATTTTACACAAAATTGTAGAATAATATGAAACGGCTATATCTCAAATTTGATGAAAATCTGTTGAAAACTGAAAATGTTATACTTATTAATTGAATTAATTTCTCGATCGTTCCTATGGGAGCTATATGATATAGCCGTCCGATTTTCATAAAATTTTTCACAAAATTGTAGAATAATATGAAATGGCTATATCTCAAATTTGATCAAATTCTGTTGAAAACTAAAAATTTTATAATTTTTTTTGTAAAACTTTTCCGATCATTCCTATGACAGCTATATGATATAGTCGTCCGATCCGGCCCGTTCCGACATATATACGAGTGAGAGTATATAGAAGACTAACTGCAAAGTTTCATTCAGATAGCTTCAAAACTGAGAGACTAGTTTGCGTAGAAACGGACAGACGGACAGACGGACAGACGGACAGACGGACAGACGGACAGACGGACAGACGGACATGGCTAGATCGACTCGGCTGTTGATCCTGATCAAGAATATATATACTTTATATAGTCGGAGGTGCCTCCTTCACTGCGTTGCAAACTTCTGACTGAAATTATAATACCCTGCAAGGGTATAAAAACAAAAAAACCAAATCTCTGTATATAGACGAGCGGTGACAACGCTCGATTGATTTGCGGTGCAAATTGCTGGCAATTAATTCTTCATTAAAGCGTTTTCGCATAGCACTTGACTTGGCTCTCCTTTTTTTTTCTTCGATTTTCTTACATTTTCTTTGGTGAAAACCGTTTGGCGTTGAGCAACGTTGCAGAAGTGGAGGAACCTGCAGGCCAAATGGGCAGATGGCTAATGCAATTACACGCTTACGGTCAAAACGGCAATCGCTTGGGGGCCGCATATATATATCCATCTTATATACATATATGCGCCTTAAGACATGAACCGATTTCATAATGAGGGATTTTAATTAGCTCCAAATAGGAGGAGGCAGCTCTAAATGAATGATTAGGCCAGCGGAGATCGAGTGAGTGAGTGGTCCTGGCCGAAAGGGAGTTATTACCCCGGGAATTGCCAATGCAATCTATAGATGAGTGGCCCTAACACCGGTTAAACGAGTCAATTAATTAGCCAGAAGCGTGTTAATAATAACCAGTTGCCTTAGATCTCTGCAAATGCAGGTGGAGAAAAAGGGGGGATATTCCTTAAAATATATCATTTCAGAAGTCATTTAAATAATAAAGAATCCATAAAAGAAGAAAGCTCCTTTTTAATATAATATTTACTGGTTTTTAATTTAGGAAAATGGTAATTTAAGTCAATGATAATAAGATATTGATTGATGCTGTGTTTTAGGATTATTATTATCCATAGAAAATCTACACAAATTGATCTCTTTATTTAAAACTCCTTTTAAATTCTGATTTAATAGTCTGATATATATTTCTCAGTGCATTTTGACCACTGCCCACCTGTCCAACTCCATGGAAAATCTTGTCACATTGCGTGCCTGCTCGCCAGTATCTATTTAGTGAGTGTTTTGCAATGAAGTTCGCTGCCTCTGGGCAAGATAAGGCCTTTCCTCCGATATATATACACACATACTCGAAGATACCCACCAGTTCCCGTGGGTTGGGCTCTGGTCTCTGGTGTCTTATGACAGGTTCCAAATGCCATTTAATTACTCAGCTGTGGCAGCTTCATAGCGCAACAGCACTATTAGCGAGGCAGCAGCATTCACAAACAGCTCAAATTAGTTGAACTACCAATTGTCTACAAATATTTGGCAAAATGTTAACCAACTTTAACACACACTCGGGGAAAGAGGTGCATGTAGACAGGTTCGTTGAGAGAGGTTCGTTGTGGATCTGTAACCCATGGCGGGAGGCCGGATCCACCTTCGCCACCTTGTCTGGGGCTTTGGTAATTTAATGCAAATAAATTTTATTTACCAAAAACATACATCAAAATGTCTGCACCGCCGACGGGCTTAACCCCTTGCTGCACGTTAGATGGCGTGCAGAATGCAAATATTATTTTAGCTTTCGAAGGAGAGCCTTGCAAATGGTGTTAAAACGCATGCAAAAACCCCCGGCTTAACCCTCAGCAGCCGCCGCCTGCTGTCAACATTTAAATTGCTGCCGTTGGCCTGTTTTGAAAATTGCGTGTTTTGGGGTGGGCGTAGCTGACATGCCACGCCCCAACGTTTTGGCCAGGTTTTCTCTCTCCCCTCTCTTTCTCTCTCTCTCCCTCTCTAACCAATTTCAGAGCAAGTTAACGAATGTGTGTGTGTGTTTATGCAATGACTCCCAAGTTGTTGCTCGTTTGTTCAGCTTGAAAATTAATTTCTATAATGGCTGCCAAGAATTGCAGCTGCAATGCGTGGTGGCTTCCAAGAGAGGCAACAGGGGGAAGGAGGGTTCAAAGAAGCTTAAATACTTGGTAAAAAGTGTGGAAAATATGTGGAAAATGGGAAAAACAACAGAGGGAAAAAAGGGTTAAAGGGGGTGGCGTACGTACGTGACTTGACTGCGCTTGCAATTAGTTAAATTATGAAGGCACAAAAGCAAAATTCCCATTTTGCAACACGAAAATGCTAATCAAATTGCCAGGAAAAAAAACATCAAGGAAAATGGAAAAGGGAAAATGAGAAGGAAATTTTTTAAAATTGCAATTAGGTAATATCGGGTATATTACTTGTAGATTGAGTATATTTATAGAAATAATTTAGGGTGAATTTCTAGCTCACATTTTATATTATATTTAATATATAATAAATTCAGTAATATTTCCAAACTAAATCTCAACTCTCTACCTTTTATAGATCCAGAGATATATGCATAAATTCTCTTGAGCGGACAAACTGACGGACAAGGGTAGATTGTAGATAACTAACATTTAATTTCAATTTAATATATAATAACTTTAGGAACATTTCCAAACTAAATCTCAACTCTATACCTTTCATAGATCCAGAGATATATCCATAAATTCTCTTTAGCGGACAAACTAACGGACAAGAGTACATAAATGGTAGCTTCATTTTTTATAAATCCAAAGAAATATATAAACTTGCTTTTAAAAATTACCTTAAAGGCCCACACACACCCTACATCCTACACACAGGCAGAGCGCGCGTGTGTTCCCAAAGCCTAATCGGAGGTAGTTTAATTTAATAGGCCATGAAGGAGACGCCGACAAACGGTAGCTGCGCATCCGACAGATACTCAGATACTCGACCTGTATCTGCAGTTGGCAAGGCACTAAGTACCTAACACTTGACATAATGCCGCAAGAAGATAGCGGCAGGTCAACAGATACAGAGAGAGCTCCGAGAGGGGATCTCATCGTCGGTTCACAAAAGACAGCAACCTGCAACCTGCTGGGCTAATGAGACACGCTGAATATCGGAGGACAGGAGAAGCCGAAAAGAAAAACAGCTGCCAAACGAAAATGAAGTTGTTCCCCGGGCATTTTATACACATGCATCAGTTGACAGCCAAATGACAAAATAAGCGGCAAATGTTTGGAATACTTTATTTATCTCCCGGCCTCTCGTTTATAGAATTTGGACAAAAGATAGCTCAAGTAGTTTGAAGTCGTCGATGGGGGGAAATTGATGGGCGCACCCTTCGAGATTGATTTATTTTCCTATTTAAAGTCCATTTGATATTTAGGAATGAAATTCATTTCCCATTTTCACCCAATTCAATCCACAAGACGACGCCCTTCCATGGCTTGTTTTTGTGCAAAACTAAACTGACAGCTCTATATATATAAAACAATGCCTGCAAAAAAACAAACACAAAAACCATAGAGAAGTATTGTTCGAAGAAACCGAATATATAAAAAGCAAATTTACAAATTTACACTTTTTTGTGGCCATTTTCGAAGAGTGTTGCGGAAATGCAAGGTTCACATGTCAGTTGCCCGGCATCAAAGTGTGACTTGGCCAGGGTTTTTCCCCCTGGATTTTCCACTCACACACTGTTTTTTTGGAGGCTCCAGGAAATGCAGGCAAAGTGTGAACTGTGCATAGAGATAGAGATCGGTTGTAGTTTAACCCGCCGCCAGACTCGCTTCAATTAGTCTGGTCAGTCAGTTAGACAATCCGTTTTGGGGGTTTTTATATGCGTTTATTATTAGATTTTTGGGGACGGACACAAGGGGGCTGGCACAGACCGGAAAGCGCCGAAAAATGAATGAATAATCTCGCATCAGACGGTGGGCCAATTGAGGCAAATCAGAACCGACGCGACTCTCATCATCATCATCATATATAGTAATGGGTCCCCCGGCAATCAGGCATATTTCATTGTTTTATTTAAGGCCCTCCCTCCTCCTCTCCACAAATAATAATAATTGCCACGCACTTTGACTACAAAAACTGCAGTCACGACAATGATGATGATGATGATGGTGATGGTGACTCCGGCTATGAGGTGGCCATGATGGAGCACCCGCAGCCACACACCATCGATGATGCCAATTAAGCCGACGAGGGGCGGCCAAGTTAATTGAATTAAAATGCGACACAAAATGGTGTAGATAAACTTGCCAGAGAGAAAAAACGGGGAAACAATGGCTAAATAAATTGTTTTTAAATATGTAGATATATATATCTTTATAGATTATACGAATTTTGATCTCTGGTAAACATTTTTATATCTATCAATGGTCAAGGAACAATATATCAAGTGAGAGAAGTTCATAAAGAAAATGTGTAAGGGGAAAGTAAAATATAAAATAATTCTTTTCTTGAACTCTTAGATTAAAATTTAAAGGTTTTTTAAATCATTATTTGAAGTATATAATATTATGTTCTATATATCTTTTCACCTCTTTTTGTCACTCCTAAAAAACTCCCTGAATACCTTTGAACTTTCCTTAAGCTAAGCACTTGTCTCCGATAAGGTTTATCATTTCCTTCCAACAAAAAACAAACAAATATATATTCTAAATAGATGTAAAAACCCGGCAAAACAAGTTCTTCAACTCAAAAAAAGTAATATTTAACGACACTTACCTCCTCCAAATCCTTGTCCCGGAAACAGACCCGGCGGTCCGAAGGGCGGCATTTGCCTGGCACCTGGCCATGGCACACCGGCTCCCATTCCCGTCCAGGCCACCGCCGCCGCTGCCAGAGCGCTGAAGGGCGTTGGGCGGATGGGCACATGGCCGGAGGCCAGAGCCGCCGGCGACAGGATCGCCGAGGACATGTGCGCACCCGAAGGATTGCCGACGCTGTGCGGAGATTCCATGGATTTGCCGCCGCCACTGCTGTCGAGGCCGTCGGGTGTGGAACGCGGCGAATCATCGGCATTCATGTCCTCGATATCGATGTCCTCCTCCTCGTCGTGATCGGGATCGGCGTCATGCTCTTGCAACAGCTCCTCGTCGTACTCCAGATCCGAGTCCGTGTGACTGCCCAGCGGCGAGTGGCGCTCGTTCTTCGCGGGCAGGCAAGGTGTGATTCCCGTTCCAGAGCCTGGAGCGGAACCCGGCGCCACCGGCGTTGAGCTGGGCGTGCTGCTGGTGGAGGCTGGCGGGGAATTGACCCTCGCATCCGCCGCCTGCTGCTGCTGCTGTTGTTGCTGCTGCTGTCTCAGCTGAGCGGCCATGGCCTGGTGATGGACATGTGCCGCCGCCTGGAGCAGATGAGCATGATGTGCCACGGCGGCGGGATGGAAGGTGGTGGTGGTCACTCCAGGCACTCCAGCGGGAACAGAAGCCACAGCCGGCGGCGGGGGTGTGCTGCTGGCCTGGGAGATGGGCGATGTGGCCGCCGAGCTGGAGAGATTCGTGGGCGCTTCTCCAACTGCATTTGGTGGCGTTCTCGGTCTCGTGTCCGCCAGGAGCGAGGCCACACTGAAGTTGCTCAGTCGGGAGGTGGTCTTGTGCAGGTGATGTGCCGGCGGATGCACTGCAGCCAGCTGGAGAGCCGCTTGCTGCTGCTGCTGTTGTTGCTGCTGCTGCTGCTGATGCTGATGATGCTGCTGGAGCAGGTGCTGTTGGTGGGCCAAAAGCAGGGCCGACGGCGAGGTGGGACTGCTCAGCGGATGCAGGCTGGGACTTAGGCTGGCCATGGTGTTGGAGCTGCTGATGGTGGTGGAACTGCTCCCGTTGCCGCTGGAGAGGCTGATACTGCTCGGCGGCACCGTGGGGCTGGTCATCGTCTGGCGCAGGCCGGTCACTGTCATGCTTAACATAAAGCCTTCTGAAGAATTGGGATGTGTTTTTAGAGTCTTTCTCTGATGGGTTTTCCAAAATCTCAGCTGCGTCTTAGAGTTCTCTTTTCATTCTAGAATCTTGCGAAGACTTTGTTTGTATAACTTTTATAAGTATTTTATCTTCAGTCAGACATGCTTTCCGAATTTTGTTTAAAGATTTGGAAGTTGTGTGTTTATCGTATAGTTAACTTGCGTAGAATTTGTGATTTTTGTAGAATTGAAAATGTTTCAAAATTGTTCACTTTAATTTACATTTATCCCGAATGAATTTGAACTTGAGCTCTCTCCGTCTGCCTTTTGATTATAATTCTTATTTTGTTGTATTTTGTTAATTAAATGCGCTGCTGCTCGTCACACGCGCTAATTACACACACACTCGCGCACACGCGGCGCTGTTGCTGCTGCACAGTTAGTTTCTGCGGAGAATTGAATTCAGCGGGAGAGCGAGCGTCCTCTTGAGATCACGTCTGTTCTGCGACTGAAATATGGGAATAGTGCCGTTGAGCACCGCTTCCAAACGCCGTCACAGATACGCACACACACACACGCGACACACAGAGAGACACAGCAGTGGTGGTGGCTTTGAGAAACCGGCTCTGCTCTCTCGCTCTCTCTTATCGGTCGCCCCACAGAGTCGACACCATTTTTATTGGCTCGCATATAGCCTTCTCGCTCGTGGTTACTTTTTTCGCTTGCGTTTTCTCCACTTTTCTGCTTTGCGCCGCCTTCTTTTCTCGCTCGCTTTATTTCCTGTGTGGTGAGTACGAGGAACAGGGATGGGGCTAGTCGCGGACTATAGTGGTCCCGCTCGCACGCCTAATTATTATTGAATAATTCAATCTTCAAAGCGTTTTTCCACTTTGTTCTTGCTTTTTTTTCGGCGAGCTGCTGCGCGTATTAGCATTTTATAACAAGCAGCGACGGCGGCGGCAAACGCTTGTCCATTTCCACTTGGGTTTCCCTCTATGGTTTTCCTCGCTCCTGCCATCTCTTTCCCGCCGCCTTCAATGACTTCATTTGACGTCTGCAAGTCTGTGATTTTAGCAGATATATATCGCTATATATAGGGGTATTAGTCGCCCGAAAAGAGACCCGAATTTAATTGGTACTCGGTGGCGTATGAGCAATGTCCTCAGCGAAAAAAAAAAAATAAAAACAATATAATAAATAATAAGCCCATCATTAAGCGAGCAGCATTATCGCAAAGCTGCAATCTCGGTCAGGAAATTATGTTCTTTTTTTTTGCAGCAGCCCTCGTCTGCTTTGTCGTCCTTTTGGTTGCCTTTTATGTGTGTCCTTTGGGCGAGCACCTCGGCAGATAAGCCATAAAAATAAGCATCCGTACGCATAAATCGGAGGTTTTTTCGGTCCAGAAAAGTCACAAAAATTCAGGGAAATCAATCAGATACACAGAGAGAAAATGTAGGTCATTTGTCCTTGATATATGAATCTTAAAAGCGTTTCTGATGATGTTTGAGCCTGAGACTAATGATTTTTCAATCCAAAATTCGTTGCACTTCATAAAATAAAATTTCACAGTTCACACAACATTAAAAGCAACTATGTTGCTTCGATATCATGTTCGATACCGATAACATGATTGATAATTCTATTATTTCACTTTCACCAAACCGATAACAAGACATTCGCGGTTATGAATGAAGTTCTATTTAACAAACTTAATATACAAAATTTTACTTTAATAAACAATCTTATAAAATATATAAATTGATAAGAAAATACGTTATTTTTAACTCTGCGCATGCTTTAATAAATTTAAAATATTCCGGGATTGTATTTTAAATGTTGCTATCCCAAAAAAATTAACTTTTTAATGGTCTCCTTGCCAAATAAATTGCATTTAATAAAGGATTTCCATTCTGCCATCACCATTCCACTCTGTTTATAATTTTACTCTACAAATTAAACTCATTTTAAGGATTATTATGCGAAATTGTTGGCTCGAAAACTTTTCACCAGCAGCAGGAGCAGCCATTGTTTTGCCAGCTCCTTTGTTTTCCGCTGGAGGAAAATGGGTTTTTCGCTTGGGGTTTTGAGTGGGCGGAGTTTTCCTCGGGTGGAAATCAGGGAAGGGATTTTAATGGCAATTGCCAGAGGGAGGCGAATAAAGAGCTCAATTAGAACAGTTGACGAATGGCTGTCGGCTGTCTGGTTGTTTTAATTAGTTGCCAGCGTTTATTATATAAAGGGTTAATTGGGGTTTCATTTATAAGAAAGTAATATATACTTAATTAATAATTTAATTTATAATTTATGATGTAAAAATGATTTATATAAAGGAAATATCAGCTTACCATATCGTTTTGACTGAAATAAATAAAAAATATACAATAGATTAGTATACTTTATCATTATATATATGTATTATGATAAATATCAAATAAGAATTATTCATATTTTCCTAATTCCTTAACAATTAAACTATTTATTCCTAAGTACAATTGATTTTATATTTTATTAAACTATTAAAAAAGACTTTTCTTTATTCAATTTCAAGATATATGCCCAAATTTTGATCACTTTCTATCAATAAAAAATTATCTAAATATATTCCTTCATGTCCTATACAATTATTATTAATTTCACCCAATTAGAGCCCTGAAAATAATTCAATTTATAGGCTTCACACATTCCCAGCCATTTAATTAACTCTAGATATATCTCTTGGCACTTTTTCCGACTTCATTACTGACTTCAATGATTAAAAACATTTTCCTGCTTCCCCAAAAGTTGAGCACTTCATTACCATGGAAAGGCCGCTTTCTTTTCAATTAAATATTTCGAAATGGCAACAAAATGTGTTGAGTGTTCATTAATATTATTATTGTCTTCATCATCATCGCGTTTTCTAGAGTTTTTGCGGCCCGTTGGCATAAACAATTATAGCCAATTACAAATATTAATTTCTCAGGCGAGCGTTTCTTTTTTCCCCACATTTTTTTCTCTTTTATTTTCCTCTACTTAACCAGCATCATTATTCATTGCGCTTTGAAATACGCAAATGGGCACCGAAAAAGAGAGAGATACGAAAACGAGGCGCAAATTAATTTTTCAATAAACATCATAAGCGAGTCTCAGCCCCCGCCGACCACTGACCATTGAGCCCAAGATGAAACGAAACCGGCAAAAGCAAAAGCAAAAGCAACAACGGCAGCACCACCACCAAGTCGGCCAATAACAAAAGCACCAACAAAGTCCACGCTTCGGCCAAGTTGGTCAATTGATAAATGGCCGACGATTTGGCTGCGTGCAGTGATGCCAAAACACCAGAAAAAAATCTATGCAAATGTGGCTAAAATAATATTTTAGAAATAGCTAAATCCCAGAGACAGTATTTAAAGGGTAGTTTAATATTTTAAAAATAACTAAAACAAACAGAGTATTTAAAGGGTAGCTAAATATGAATATAAATCTTCATAACTAGCTTTATAGCTTAGAATACATATTACTTAACAGTTTTATAAAGTCAAACTTTAAATAAAATGTATTTCTTAGTTGTATACATTTTATTTATAGATACACAATTACTTCTGATCTTCTAAAGCTCCTTTATCTTATTTCTTAAACTGATCTCAGCTTTCAATAATATCAATTTAAACTCTTGCTATATATTTAAAATTTTCCATTACAAAAATATATTTAAAAAAACTTCAAGAAAATCCTCTTATTTGGCTTTTAAAAAGCTAATCCAACACCGTCAAATGCGTGGATCGAGGAGAGCAAGTCAGTTTCCATTTTTCCTTCCCTACTCTCGTCTGTATGTAAATGTTTTGATAGTTTTTCATAATTTTTCGAATTTATATTTCCCGCCAAGCGATTTGTGTTTTTGATTTTATTTTTTTTAGAAGGAGGTGTGGGGTATAGTGTGTGTGTGTGTATTTATGTGGGTGTTGCATATTTATGTGGGTTGTACATTTATATATTTGTGCTTTGTGTGGCCTTTTTGTTCAGCAATTAAATGAGAATTTCGTGTTTTATTGTGCAATTAATTCGGAATTGAATTGCATAATTGTTTGTATCCGAGAGTGAACAGTTACCGAGTCAGCAAATTGATTACCAGTCTGGGTTTGGAATTAAGAAGAAATATGAACTAGAAATCCTTAAAGTTTTGTATATTTTTTACCTAGCTAATTACTTCTCTTACTCCAATTTAATAACGTCTAATGATATATAAGTATAATATAAGTCACCCTCCTCCTTTCTCTCTGCAAACATAATTAGCAGCTCCACGAACTTCAATCCACCGCTGCCAAACAGGACCTTTAAACGAGGCTAATTTCATGGCGACCCCAGCAGCAACCAGTTATCCTGAGCGAGGACGCATAATCAAAATTTCATTATCCTTGCGATGCGTTAAATCGCTTAAACAGGCCGAAAAAGCAATGTGCCAACACCCATCCACCCCCGAGAAGAGCGAAAAACCAACAGTTGACATGTTGACAGTTCAGAAGCGAACGTTTCGAAGGACACACAGGACGAGGACGAGGACGAGGCTGGTGCGAAACTCCGACTCAATAAACGTTATTGCAGTGAGATGGCTGATTCGATGGGGGGATTTTCGCCTTTTCGCCTTTTTGGGTTTGTTATTGAGGGGTTGGTTTTGGCGAGTAAATAAACCATCCCCTTGTGGCACACACAAACACACACACACCCTGCGGTTGTCAGTCATTTACACACAGAAACACACACACTAAACGGCGGGGTGTGCGTTGATGATGGCGCAGCAGCAGGAGCAGGAGCAGCAGGAGCAGGAGCAGCGCTCGTTTATTGAATTACATCCGCATCGCTGAGCATTTAACGAGCTCTCGGGTGTCGTTTTGCTGATGGCGTAAATGTTTGGCAAACAACAAGCAAATAAATAAAGTTCTGATTTGCCACTGATTGCCTTGGTTCGAGTTTTTTTATTCCTCCCATTTTTTGGGTGGGAATTGATCTCCAGCCAAGTTCGGGGCTTGATTGACAGCAAGAACACCATTCAATAATTGCAGAGAGAACAAAAAGGTGGCCTCTAATTAATATTATAATTACAGAATAATTTGTGTTAAAAGGAGACTAATTAAAGGTAATTATATTTAATATAATATACTTAGATTTAAATACATTATGATTATTCTTTATAATGCAATTATAACATAGCTTTACTATTTGTCGAGTATAAAATAATATTGTTAGGCTATCCTCTTTCACTTTTACTCAAAATAATTACTGGAATTATTAAAATATTCAATATATATTTTATATACAACAGGAAAAACTTCTGATAAGTTCATATTATATTATATTTTGAATTTAATATGCTCATAAGAAAAGAATACTTTAAATTCCTCATTCCTTTAGTGCTTCAGAACTTTGATATTTAATTTTCTAAAGGAATATAATGCATTATTCAATATAATATACTGTGTAATACTGTTAACTACATTTCTGTTCTTACATTCAGCTT